CACGCTACAAATAGGTACAGGTATTACATTGTTAAAATGGTTCAATTACATGTTTCATGCTGTACAAAAACGTACTATAGTAGTCATACTTTTCTAATGATCGTCAATAAAAAAATTTTAAAAAATCACCAAATAGAACGGGGTGGTAAAAAAAAACGCAAACGCTAAGAGCTATTAGAAGCATAAGACAACTGGAAGACAACATTAAACGGGTGCTGAGATGGCCATAAGATCATGGACCGAATGGATTATTTTGTTACTAACGAAGGATGACATGTAGAAAATGTTTTTGTTTAGTTAAGTAATTGTAAGCTTTGTTTTAGTAAACTATTAATCTGTTTTGGGTTTCCTTTTTTTGCACCACGTTAACATAAAGAAACCCCGTCAGTACAAAGTTACACAGATCATCATGGTTCATTCTATACTCATATTTGGGTTAAAATACGCACCTAGGTGGCGTCCCCATGTCAAATGGTAATACTCATGGTGCTTGTGTAATTTTCTGTTTTTTATATTGAAATCTTTGATGGTGTTTGAAATTTCTCCTAGAGCTGGATACTGTATTCAATTTCATGTACGTCAGGGGTAACCCAAGGCAGTATTCTTGTCCTATTTAATATATTCAAAGAGATATAACGAATAATAAATTACAAAAATATCATCCAAACACTATTAACTAGAAGGCCAACAAAAAACAATCTCATAAGTAGCCTACAAAACAAAGTTCACCCCGTAACATAAGGAAATAAGATAAATTAGCAAATACAAAACCAACATACAAAACACTACGTGTTGCAATACAAAACCAAATAATTCCAGAAGTTCATTGTGGATGTAGCCTCCGGATTGCCAAATAATATTAAAAAGGTTTAAATACCTGCTATCAAGCAATCTATTTAATTGCAGTTGCAACTAGTTTCGACTCCTATGTCGAAAATGTGTTAAATGACCAGCTAACGTTTTCGTCCAATTTTATATATGACACTGCCATAAGGATACTGGAGAGTGGAAGTGTGTTAGACAGGACTAGGACCTAACCTGAAGTGATAAGATAACGGACGTACACCACTGCAATGACCACCCGCAGTCTGGACTTAAACTCCGTCGGGTTAGCGTCGTCTGTTGTCGTAACTGATCAGTAAATGTTTCGTGTCCGTAACGTGTTTTGTGTCGTGTGTAAATGTTTATTTATTTTTACGTGTTAAATATGACGCTCTTCATATGAAGAAAGAAGATGTCCTTGTACCGCCTGATGATGACTCCACATAGGAGTCGAAACTAGTTGCAACTGCAATTAAATGGATTGCTTGATAGCAGGTATTTAAACCTTTTTAATTCCAGAAGTACAATACAGTGGCATGGCAGGGATGTTAGGAAAGTGAGGAAATGTGGCAGTTTGTTACGAGTGCCAGTGTTGGCCTGGTGCCACATGTTCTAGCGACTGTTGCTTGAGAACTTCCCATGAATATGAATAAGCGAGCATTACTCTCACGAGAATTGGATAATCTGTAGATCAAATTCAATCTCGTTCTCGTGACTGAAATGTAAGTGATGTGATACTTTTAAACATTGTTCAATTCTGGGTCTTTCATTGCTTTGTTCCCGTTTTTTCAGAAGGTTTTCTTATTTTTTGAACACAACAATCAAAGCAGTTTTCAAGATTTAGTGGATGAGAAAAAAGTAGTTAAATACCTCATTTTTTTGCAACTCACAAAGAATTACCCATTCCATTAACTTCCATCAAAGCATTTTAAAGTTTTGGTGGGTCTCCTCCACACTCAGTCACACTCTTTGTGACCAGTTTAAAGTGAATATAAATTAATTGTTATTCCATGTTCACTGATCATGTTCATCTGTGTTCATCTCTCAATCACCCCCAACCCCTCAATGCTTGCTGTGTCTTACAACGCCTCAAGCGCAGTGCTATTGATCAGACTTCCGCTTGAGAATCTTAGTGTATGTTTTATAAAACAATTACTAAAATATCAATTAATTATGATTGGATTTTGTAATGTTTTATCTTTTTGAGAACTATATTAGGTAGTCAGTTCGTTTAATAAAAAAAAAACAACGATCAAGATTGTCAATGAAAAAACATGACAAAATACATTAATGGTCTCCTAAGCTAGATTGCCTAAACAAATAAGATAATGGGGTGTAGTACAAAACAACTCACCAAGTCAGTAAAAGTTTATTTCATTTGATCCCAAAACAATTTATTTCAATGAAAAAAATAAAAATAAAATTTATCTAATAAAAAAGGTCATAAAGACATATACATTCTTGTATTATATGACTTAAACATTATTTTGAATGATTTGATAATGAGTAAATACATTAAATGGGCTTAATTTGCAATCTGTTCTAGTATTCTATTCTTGCCATCTGAACAAAGTTAGAGTCACCTGTCAAAGTTCATTAGGTTAAGCCAGAAAATGTAGGGGAAGCTAAATGATTTCCTTATAATTTATAATGAATTATATTTATAATACATCTTAGTTTAAAAGTTATAAACTAAAATTGTTTAGTAGTATAATTCAATCACAATCACTTATCTTACATTTAAATAATGTTTAAGACATTTTCTATTCATATTATTAGCTTTTTTTATAATGCTACTAAAAGAATCTTTTTAAAGTAAAGAATATATAAAGATAAAAAGAAATCTCAATGATAACTCTCTTTTGGACGAATGACTCTGTTTAAATAGTTGTTTTATCTTATTGAAACTCTCTCTCTTCTCTTCATAGCATTATGGTTGAATGGTGTTATTCAAATTGTTTATTTATCTTATTTAAAAGTTCTTATTCATCGTTTTATACATTCTCAAAGTAAGCTCAGTATTTAAGGTTCTCAAATACAGTAAATGATTAAATTTTAAAAATAGCTACTGGTACCATGTTGTTTTATCTGTATAATACAGTAGACATAATCATTTACACTCCAATCTTACTGTGTATGCTACTATTATACTTTAACTGGACTTAAACAAATATTTTTATTTAATATTGTAATTTACTTATGTATGAAAATATTAACCAATAATTCTATTAGACAATCCACCAGGAGGACTTTGTTGTGCTATTTTACTTCATTTACATTCTTTTGGTTTTTGTGAGTGAGCTCCAAACCCTGGTTTTCGTACTATATTCTTGTTACTTACGCCTCTTTCACACGAAGCGGCGCGCGCCGTACGGCGTCCGCCGCGCGGCGCTGCGCCGGACAAGCTGATGTCTTCACACTAGTACGGTTTCGTGCGGCGCGCGCCGTACGGCACTCCTAAATATTTATTATTTTCTGTTCAGTTGTGGCTTTTAAATGAATACTCCACTTAAAAGTTCAAATTAAATTAAAAGGATAATTTTAAATATAATAAACTAGTGCACCTGTTGCTCGAATTTGAGCAATTGCAAAATATTAAAGGAGTTTTTTTACAAAAACTGTCACTATTTCCGTTGACGTGTGAGAGTCAACTCAAAGATAATGTAACCAATCACTCCACTCCAGTTATCGAAACTGGAAACGAACTCACTCTGAAAACGAATGCTCACTCCACTCCATCTATCGAAACTGAAAACGAAAACTCTTGTGTGTATCATGTGTGTACTATGAACAGCTGTAATTAATACAAATTATTCGTCCGTTTAACTAAACAAAATCTTGTATTCATAAGATATACATTGGGATTTTGATGGCCTGAGGGGCAAAGCCCGAGGACTTTTACTACATGAATTGGTGAAAGGGGGCGTGTACACAACAAATACTTAATTTTGACACATCGTTTGTAAAAATCGGTTCATTATTAACGGAGGAGTAGTATCTCGTAGAAATCACCTTCACGTATTATATATAAGTATTCGTTATATCTGAAAATATTGTATTCTAGAAGTTAAAAAAAAAATGTTTCATTACGTATTACTAAATTACGATTATTACGATTATTAGTAATTACGTAAATTACTAAATTATTAATTTAATACTAAATATTCTCCTCTAGTTATTAAAGGAAAATTTTTGTTTTAATACTTTAAGTTGGTCGATTTGCATGGGATTAACATAAAAATGTATGTTTTGTAATAACTTTAAATATATTATTTTCCGATACAACGATATATAATTTCTTAATTAACTGTTGCACCCTCTTGGTCAGGTAGTTTGCCTAAAATGAGGCAGCGTAGGGGTTGGGCCGTGCGGCGCGCGCCGCACCGTGTGAAAGCTCCCATAAGAACCAATGCACCTTCACCGAGTTGTCCGGCGTGGACGCCGCGCGGCGCTGTCGTCCGGCTCAAGGTGCATCCGGCGGTAACTCGCGCGCCGTGCGGCGAATTCGCCGCGCGGCGCGCGCCGGACATAGTGTGAAAGGACTCATATACTCCCATAGCCCTACGCCGGATCCGGCGGGCGCCGCACGGCGCGCGCCGCGTCGTGTGAAAGAGGCGTTAGTAGCGCCATTATTTTACTGCCCAACTGGCATTTGAGTCCAGAATTTACTCCACAAGAGATGGAACCAACAAGTCAGATTAGAAGACCTTTGTAAACAGTTGGCTACCTAGACACACACATGTGATTCATAGTCTAACATTCTGCAACACAAGTTTGCATATAACAGCAACATTGCTTAACACAAATCTAAAACTGACACCACTTACTCAGTGCAAATGTGATATAGCAGTGCATGAGTCGGGTATAAAACGGGTCAAGTAGGGTATAATGTAGGGAGGGATGAGGGAAAAATCCCAAAACACTGTGAGTCACACTACGAAACACTAGTGGTATTAGGTTAATCCAAAGGCAAATTATTTTGAATATGAATGTAGGGCCTACAAAATTACAAAAGCTATGGTGGTGAAGAACAATGTCTTGTGAGCGTGCTTATCCCGCTCGCCACTCCCAATTTACATGATCTTTGCCAAGAAACTAATCTGCACAACTGACATCACTGATTGTTATGATTTTCAGCGAGTTTGCCATTGGTTGTCTGACGATTGTGTTTGTTCCAGGACGAAGCCCCGCCTGCCCTCCCTACCTCTCCTCCGCCAGACACAGACCTTCTGAGTGATGACGTCATGGTGAGTAGAAAAAATATGGTTTTTATTTGCAAAAATTCTATATTAAATATTTGAGTGGTCTTGAAATAAAATCAAAGTGTTTATTGGGCCAATAATAAAGGTTTTGTATTAGCCAATTCAATCCATAATAAACTTGTCCCTAACCTTTATAACAGAGGTTAATATTACCAATATTTAAACATATCACTTTTTTAACTCGTAAACGCTGTAACAAGTTAATTTTGTTTTCTAATTTAAGAGATTGTAGAAGGAATTTGAAAATGTTTATGACAATGTACAGAGGATGTTTAAAAAAAATATTGTTACTTAGAAATCAATAAATTAAATTATTTGCACTTTGTGAATTTTATAATGTTTATGGAGACAACTATACAATAATGAAGAGGGCCTTTGCTCTCTAGTCTAGACCAGACAGTCTAGAGCAGTCTTAAGTAGTCCTACCTACCAAACCTTACTTCACAATCTAATCATAAATAAATATTCAATTGATTTAGGTCTATTTAATTTTACATATGTTATAGAGTTGCTTAACTCGCTACTTTGAATTAAGTTTAATCATTTATGAAATGATCTCCTATGAAAACCAAGTATCTGTAATTGCTGTTAGATATTATTTCTGTAACTTTTTATAATATTAATTAAGATTATTAAAGTAATATTTCAAAATTTTTTTAAAGAGAACTTTGATTATACTGGCGATTCTCTATAGTTTGAAAACTTGTGATATATGATCCAAGATAAGCTATGCTAGACAAATAGCAATCTCATAACTTAGATGAAGGATTCTGTGATCTAGTTATTATAGTATCTTAGGCATAATTTCATCCAATAAGTCACATACTCAATGACAAAAGTTTTGATCTTGTGCTCACTTAATATCTGAAAAATATTTCTTACATTTATTGTGCTGATAAAATTTATATTATGTCATTCTTTTTAGGTTTAAATTTTGATTACCAATATAGCATTCTATCTTATCTTCTATGTACTAGTTTTAGCCAGTTTTTCACTCAAGTAGTTGAATAGGGTGAATAAAACAGCTCATATTTTGCTTCGTTAGAAGTTGGCATATACCACATCAAACTGTATTCTACAACACCTTAGCTCAATACAAGTTGCTTTTTATTGTATTAACTGCATCATTAACGTGAATGGAAGGTCTAATACACGGTGTGTATTTATAGCTAAATGTTTTTATTAAGATTTAATTTCTACTTTTTATATGTAGTTGAATAAATAAAAACTAAAAGCATTCTGTACAATGTTGAAAATACATTTTTGACTTATGCATGTCTCAACTAAATAATACAAAAAATGTTATTTCCAGAAAAAGAATCTTTTGTGAATATCTAAAATATCATGGGTAAGTTTATGTTTCCCAAATGAAAATCCTGTACACACTTGGACAGTATTTGAACAATGTTTTATAGATTGGTAGTTGAGATAAAGTGAAAAAGTATATTACGCCCAATACAGTAGGACTATTACTATTTGATTTTTGACTAGGAAATGTATGGTTCCTATTTTTCATTAGAACATAAAATTGTTGCAGATTTAATGTAGGTAATTAATAAATGTGTTGACCTTCTTTCCCAACAAAATGCACTATCACCATGTTCTTATGTAGCACAATTTTGAACACTTCATCAACGTCATAAGTTGTTTCCAAATGCCTTTTGGCTCTATCCCTCTGTGTATTTAAAGGAAACGTTGTTGATATTAAAAACTGTTATACCTAGCTCTATCCGTCCTCAAGTGTAAGGTGTAAGTATGTAGTGTTGTTGTAATGTTATTTGGATTCCCTACCTTGCCATATTTTACACAGGTTGTAATTTAAGGCTTCCCTAGTTTTAGCTTAACAAAAAACCATAACCGTTTATGATTGTTTTTTAAATTTAACTACACTTAACTGTCTTTTGCTTTTGAAAATAAGATAGTAAAATAATATTTTCATAAAAAACTTGCCTCTGGATTGCAGGATTTATCAAATAACTGTTTATATTCCATTCTCTATTAAGCTACTTGTGTTTAGAAGTACACTTCTAGAGTTTCAGACATCCAGAGTAAAGTGCATACTTTTTCAGACCATATCCTGGTTCTATGTTATCCAGTATTCGTGGGTAGATCTGATCAGATTTTACATTCATTCATGTCCCAATGAAACCTGAAAATAGACTATGAAAGTCTGAAATACTAGATGTGTACTACTAAACACTGATCACTTGAAAGAGCAGGTAAACCAACGAAAAATATGAGATAATAAGACCCTATACTTTGTCTACAATTGTGGTATTTTTGTTCACTTCTTTTTGTAAAACCGTAGATTTTAAAACATTTTACTCTGCCCAGTGCCCACGCTTACCAGTTTACTCACTTAAATTGAACAAAACAGAAGTAGGCTAATTTTATCCCAACAGAATTAACCACAGAAAATTTCACTTATACAATGTGAATAAAATTCTTGCTTGTAAAAAAACCACAAAATCACATTTTAGTTTGAAAATAAAACTGTAGACAAGTTTTGTGGGAGGATTGGTTTTTTTTATCAAAAACCTTTCTCTTGTGCAAAAAGTGCTACTTTGCTCACTGTTAAATCTTGGTTACAGCTGGAGTCTCACACGCCAGACACTCTGTTATCAGTGGATGGTGTCGTTGACTTGGAAGCTGACAAATCAGTGCCTTTACCCTCCGAGCTTGAGCAAGAGATCAAGATACACAAGGGTTCTGAACCCTTAGGTAATCAAGTTTGAATCTGTTCAGTGAATAAAAATCCTTTATCTCGATGGTAAGCTTCCTTGGTCAAAGTACACTAAATCTTTATGTTTGGAAGATTTATTGAATTGGCAAAGCTAGTGGCCGACTTGCAGCAATCCATTGTGGCAAACTTTAATTGAACTTAATTTAATTTTCAATCAAACTCAATTTAATTCAACTAAGTCTGTCTGTGTTACTGTCAGAAAGATCCAGTTTAGTGACATTAAAACTCAAGCTTTTTCATGCAGCTGAAACTGCAGCATATCCTAATCTTGTAACATTTCTTGTGTGCAAGGTAGTCAGCTGAAACTGCAGCATATGCTAATCTTGTATCATTTCTTGTGTGCGAGGTAGTCAGCTGAAACTGCTGCATATCTTATCTTGTAACATTTCTTGTGTGCAAGGTAGTCAGCTGAAACTGCTGCATAACCTAATCTTGTAACATTTCTTGTGTGCAAGGTAGTCAGCTGAAACTGTAGCATATCCTAATCTTGTAACATTTATTGTGTGCAAGGTAGTCAGCTGAAACTGCAGCATATCCTAATCTTGTAACATTTCTTGTGTGCAAGGTAGTCAGCTGAAACTGCTGCATATCTTATCTTGTAACATTTCTTGTGTGCAAGGTAGTCAACTGAAACTGCTGCATATCTAATCTTGTAACATTTCTTGTGTGCAAGGTAGTCAACTGAAACTGCTGCATATCCTAATCTTGTAACATTTCTTGTGTGCAAGGTAGTCAGCTGAAACTGCAGCATATCTTATCTTGTAACATTTCTTGTGTGCAAGGTAGTCAACTGAAACTGCTGCATATCCTAATCTTGTAACATTTCTTGTGTGCAAGGTAGTCAGCTGAAACTGCTGCATATCTTATCTTGTAACATTTCTTGTGTGCAAGGTAGTCAGCTGAAACTGCTGCATATCTAATCTTGTAACATTTCTTGTGTGCAAGGTAGTCAACTGAAACTGCTGCATATCCTAATCTTGTAACATTTCTTGTGTGCAAGGTAGTCAGCTGAAACTGCAGCATATCCTAATCTTGTAACATTTATTGTATGCAAGTTAGTCAGCTGAAATTGCAGCATATCTTAACCTTGCAAAATTTCTTGTATGTAAGGTAGTCAGCTTAAACTGCAGCATGTCCTAATCTTTTAATATTTCTTATATGCAAGGTAGTCAGCTGAAACTGCAGCATATCCTAATCTTGTAACATTTCTTGTATGCAAGGTAGTCAACTGAAACTTTGCGTTAAAATATGCATCCTAGGATGTCTGAATCACAAAAATCAAATGTAATATGATTCTGTCAGGACAAATATCTGATTAATTTAATTTGATCAAACATTTTCTTGTTGGCCTAAGTTAAGTTATTACATCAAAATAAACCAATAGTTGGTCATAAATGTTAAATTTTACATTTTTTGTCTTTTACTACGTTCCAAATTATTTCCATTATTTAAAACTTTAGAAGTAGCTGTACTTCACAATGATAGATTGTATTTGCTAGATATTCTGACCAGAAGAATCTGTGTTAAACTTAAATTTACTGTGATTTTGCAATATTACATACAATGATTTTGAATTGTGGCGGTGTAAATTGTACCACATTTATGTCCCTTTTATTACACACAAATTTGGTAATGTTACATAAAATGCTGCATTATGGGAAAACAATATGGAATTGTAACAAATTAAGAATTACAGTGATGTTGCTTATTCAACTCAACAATTCTGAATGTATATGTGTGTGCCATTTTTAATAATGTTGTATTGCATTACAATAACACTTGCATTGTTATAACTATTGCAACAAAGATAATTAGGTACCTTTGAGACAGGATTCCAATCAATACTCACTCACTTAGGTATTGAAGAGTAATTGAATGCATTAGTGCATTAATTAATTTATTGTTTGGAATAGCTATGGTTAGTGTAAAGTGATAATAATGAGAATATTTATACTCAAAATTATATATACAAGGCAGTTAAACACTATCGTGAAATGTAGAGCGAGATATATAAAATGGAAAATGTCTGTTGAAGTTTTTACTTTATGTTGGACTTATAAAACATGTTTTCAACTATTGGGATATTGAGACGATGATAGTAAGTATGTTTCTAGGAGTTTGATTTGACATTTGATGAGTTGATTTCCTTTAAGGATGTTAGTACCATACATTCTGGTATTTTGGTGTGAGCCATCAAATCAGTATTTAAATTAGTACTACTTAAAATAAAAAATATAAATGGTACAAATACCAATTTTATATGACTCTTACCGTAAGACCAAGAATGTAGTGACGAGGTTGACCACTAAAGCATAAGAGGAAGACTTTCCTGATTAAGGAAGACTTTTAGAAATATAAAATACAATTTCTGGGGTTCAACATAAGTGACCAAAGGGCTTTGTTGATTTTCAGGACTCAGCCTAGACTGTGCCGAGGATGGTGATGGGATGGTGGTGTCGGAAGTGTTGCCAGGTGGCGCAGTGGACAAGGACGGTCGGATCCGGGTTGGTGATCTTGTACTGAGCATCAACAACGAGAGCTTACGACACGCTACTCCTGCGCAGTGTAGAGCGATACTGCGAAGGGCCCAGCTCATCACTACGGACATCAAGTAAGCCCTCCTCGCTAGAGTTCTGCTAATCCAAACTAAATGGGACTGGACTCTTCATCATCATAATAGTGCAGATCAGGCAGAAATTCCTTCAAATTAAAACATTGTTTTTTTTTTTTTTTTTTTCAATAAATGGCCATAATCTATTGTGCCCAAATTTTATCCATGATTGTCTTCTACAATCACGTTCTTCAACTGTGTGAAGACTCCAAAGGTAACCAAAAGCACATTGAGCCGTTAATGAATGAACACTCATCCAGAGGCTATTGATATTCATTTTAAATTTCTAGTTCATCAAAATTCACGTACATTTCCCAATTTGTTGTCGGCTGGAAATTCTTGTTAGTATTTCAGAACTTTCAGTACTTTTTTAGTTTTTCCAAACAGGTGATTTGGATTAGTTATGGTATATGAATTCAAGAAATTACACTTTTTTTAAATTGAATTACAAATTTCGAATTGAACAAAATAATGCATTTTTATTCCTAATAGATCAGCGGAACTTGTGCTCTGTAAATCAGGAATTAAACATACTCTTCTCATTCCCTGTTTAGTTAAACTCCTCTCTCTGGTTGTGAAGGCTTGACCCTTGGCTGGTCACGTTCTTCACAATTCTTTTAAAGATCCTTTTGTTCTTCCACATCATTTTACCGTACCTCAGGTCATACCAATAGATCATCTGATTTATTATAGGCGACTTGTCATAAATCAGAAATTTACATGTGGTGGATTAATCAAACTACTTTCTTTTATTTTCCGAATATGGTTACAATTTTCACATGGAAAAGGATAGTCTTGTTTCATTTATAGTCAATCGTAAAACATTGTATTTAGACATTTTACGTAATTTTATTTATGAGTCCCAACAAAATATCTCACACTTCCTCTACACATTTAATCATCTTTCCATCACCACTGTACCCAAAGACATGAGACATTTCCAGATCACGAGGATTGTTCCCTCGTGAAGCCAAGCATCGATCCCCACGACGTCACTTGTAATCCAATACATTGCATTTAATGAGATTCACTTTAGACAGACTATTCTTGTAACTTTAATGCAACACGTTACTGAAGTAGTAAAAATAAAACAATTAAGTCTACAGCATGTGCAAGTTAGTCAATAAGTACGGTAGATTTCAATTTGCTATATACTTGGGAATGAACATTTTATTTTTGTTTGTGTTGTAAGTTGTTGAGTACTCCTGCATGAAAACCCATTTGTGTTTTTACACTGTTTATTTTTCTGCAAAACTGTTGGCATCATGTATTGTATTTTGTTAGCAACCATCGCTGCTTGTCACATTTTTAAAACTTGAAAAACTAAATTTTTCCAAATAAAGCACACGTAAATAAGCTTCAAATCATGCCAATCACTATAGTGGATTTTATCCAAGTTATATAATTCAAGCTACAGGCTAAGTCTAGCCTAGCCTAAATCTATAAAATAGTTCTGGGCTAGAGCTCAGGATGCGGGACATAACAAATTAAAGCAAAACCACGTAGAATAACATTTATTATAACAGCTACATTATTATACCATATAATAAATCATACACTCTTGAATAGAAGCAGCTAAAACTGGCGTAAAGTGAGGACCCAGAGCTATATCACCTCTGAAGTAATCCTTTTATTAACGCTTCCATGGACCCCCATGTGCTTGATAATTGTTTTAAAATTTCCTCTTAACCTTAAGCTACCTTTCCACACCAATAATTTGTAAAATTTTAACGTCGCAAAAAATTTGAATTGTATTTTCTTAAATTATATTATTATGTTTATTTCATCACAAACCATTTCAGCAGTCAATCAACAAGAACAGAAATGTTTTTATTTAAATAAATATACCGTTGTTTTCACACTTATCACACAAGTTTTATATAAAAACAAATACACGTTATTTGCATTTCAAATTTTAGAAATATGTACTATGCTTTGCCATCAGTTTTTCAATTTGTTATAAAAAAAAACTACTTCTTTTTCGCTGTATAATCATTAAAATCTTTACATTCTACCAATTACATTTTACAAAGATTTTGAGATTTTCTGGTCTGGTATGAGTAAACTTTTAAAGTACCAAGATTTGGCGATCTTATGAACACCACTTACTTTTTTCACTTCTCTGTCATATTTTGGATTGGAATTTGTATGCATACTTTCTTATGTCATAAATCGGTGATGACAAATACATCAACATCATTAGAGGTGTTGGAAGTGTTTTTGCCTGTACATCATTCCCAAATAATTCCTGTCAAAAATTATCCCATATCTGTTTGAAGTTTTACCAGAAAACATGCCATTAACGACATTAACATACATTAAACATACAAAACATACATTGTAAAATTTAAGAAGAAAAAAATTATTTGATTTAGATGCAATATTAAATTAGCTTAAGACATCATTGCTTCTTTTAGATATCTACAGTTAAATGATGCTGAAGTAAGTGAGTCTACTCTTTTTGATTTTTTACACCTTGTAAATACGGCGGCAGGAATGGCACTTGCATTTAAAAGGAAGTGGCTGTTGCTTCTTTGCTAACCGAGTCAGTACCGGCGGCGTATTTCCTGCTTCCACTGTGGCCACCAACAAAATATCTGACTCAGATTAACCACGCAACACGCGACAAAAAGTTAAATCTGATTCTGAATCTGAATTGGCATGCCCTCTATACGTACCGTATGCATTAAATTTTTAATTTAAATTGGTTTACAAGATAGTTGTGAAATCCTTAAACACATAGGTGCTTAAACTCTGTCCACTCTGCTTAGTAAACTATTTTAATTAGTGAGCAGTTCTGTAGGAAAGTTACAAAACCCTGCCAAGAAACTTTGTAATGACAGTGTAACTGGCACTAATGAAGGTATAGTTGTCCAACTATTCCTTATTTAAGTACTTTTCTTAGAAAGTTACCCATGTTTTTTTGTTTTTCCTATTTCTTGAATTCTGTTAAAATTATGGGCCTCATTTCCTGACATAATGTTCAGATTTGTATCAAAGAAGAATTAATTAGCCTACATGTTGATGTTTTGGTATTTGACATTCATCTTTCAGAGTTATTATAAGTTTCGTTCCAACATTTTCATCCCCCAACATTACATTTTTTAACCTCGATTACAAGTTTAATCTATTGCAACTCAAACTTCTCATAAGGGGCACTGTTGAAATAGTGGTCAGATTAGAGCACAAGACATCTGTCCTGGGCTAGTGTATCAATCTTCCATATTCACCATTTGGTTATCACTATCAGCTTTATTATAATGCTGTGCCTCTGCGGTTCAAAGTCCTCCTTAAGTGGTTAGAACTTTAAGGAAAATAAATTCACCAGTTTATAGATTTGAATCGTTGTTGAGCCTAACGCAAGGACATTCTCCTTAATAGAGGATTTTCCCATCCAATTAATTAATTTGCATGTCATTACATAAGTTTCTACCCTGCATTAGTCATATCATATTCCTTTAATAGAAGATTTATTCCCATAAAACACCCCTCTTATCATCATTACAAGTTTCATTACAATTTTTAACTTCACTTTATTAGTTGTCATCTACATTGCATCCTTTAACTCCTTATTAAACGTTACACCCGCTCATTACAAGTGTTACCTCTTCAGTGTATGTTTACTCCAATATTACATTTGTAAACTCCCCATTTCAAGGTGTAATTCATGCATTACAAGTTTTGTCACCACCTTACGAGTTTCATATAAGATTTCTTCCACATTACAAAGTTTTACCCCATATTTCAAGTTAAATCCACACGTTACAAGTTCCATCCCCTCATTACATCCCTCCCCATGTTAGACAGTGGCGAGTGTAGTTGTGGCTCAGGCAGCCATACAAGTAGCCCGCAGACTAGTGTTAGTCGTATCTTGTTAGCAGCGTCCTCGCACTAAACTGATTACCATCCTTCCTTGTTCGCCCAGTCTAACCCTAGTTCTGTGTAGTGTTCGGTACGTGCCGGCTCCAACTACTTTGGATTACCGGAAGACTTCGCTGCAAGTTGAGTCGTTTGCGGCTCCGGTCAAATCCACCGTCGTCACTCAAATCTCCCCTAGGTGAGTAGTTCTGTGACTTATATTTTTAATTAAATAACAGGTATTTTGTAATTGGATGGAGTAAATTATGTTTTGGTAAATATGTTTTGGTAGAGTAAGTAATGGTAAATATTCATTGATTTTGGAGGAAAAAGCACTTGGCCTAGGAATACATTAAGGAAGAAGGAATGGACACACAACCAATTAACTAACCCAAGAAATAATATCCAGGTTGTTGACAACACAAAAAGTTCAAAACACAATTAATTTGATATTTCGTCCCTGCAATGGATTCCTCAGAAGGTATTAGTTAAATGGATATCGCTTGTAGAGGACAATCTCAAAATGAATTGCGTTGTGAAATTTTTGTGTAGTTTCAACTGTGTAGAACTCCTTTCTTGGGTACGTTAGTTTTGTATCTGTTTCTCCCTCTAACTTATCCATTGACTTTATTAATTAATTAATAAGTATGACCAAAGCTCACTGTTACACATTATGAAGCAATTCTAAGTTAAACTTTTGTAAGCATATACACCGCATCTTGAAAGCTTTTAGCCAACTTCTAAAGTCTTGTCTTTTTCTATTCTTCATCTTTCCTTCTATTTAGGCTTAAAAAAAGTGTATTAATCATATTTTTTAATGGTGCCTGGGAGTTGAATACGGAATCAGGGATCAATTTACTTCCTTGTTCATCAAGAAATCAGAGTCGCAATCCTGTGGCTTGAGAAACTGAAATTAATATTACAATTTGGGATGTAAAACATAACAATAATTAAATCATTTTGACTACAGTATGATTTAAATTAAAGAGTAAATTCTAAACTTTCCAAAAAGTTTTTATAGATAGACCTTAAAAAAATGTATTAGTTGAATACTTGTATGGTGTTTTTGCTGCTGACTTCTTCTATTATACACAACAACCATTAACAATACAACACTCTAATTCTAGATTAATGCCTTGTGTTTAAAAGTTTGAAATCATATGAGGAGTACATAAAGTGCAACAATTATACTTTAACCAACTTAAGAATTAAAATACCCTCCTGAATATATTACAAATTACTGTAATCTAAACTGTTGCTATAAGAGCACCTATACACAGTTGTATCATAACTTAGCACTGCTATAGTTTACACGTTTTTCCTTGTGCACCCAGGATATTTCCAGACTACTACAGGTAAGTCCACGCTTTAGAAACAGTTGTCGTGGCTTCTTATCATCTCTGTAGACTAAAAGCACCTAAAAATTTTAATTTTAAGTTTGACATAGTTGATTGTTGGACTTTTTAACAAATGATCTAACCCTTTGAGTACAGTTGACTGGTTGTACCATTGTGGTGTATCATTGATGTAAACAGCCAGTAATTGGTTGTGATTTCAGCTCACATCGGCCTCCTTCTCTTTGTATAGTTTCTGTTAGCTATCGTGGCCGCCCTTTTATCCGTGCTTTTCTCTACCAGTTCACCTCTCAGCGTAAAAACAGATTTTTAGTTTTAAAAACGTTGTTTTGTGCTAATGTTACTACTAGCCATCCAAACTGTAGGTACAACCATTGTGATATTACTGGAGCTGCTGTATAAAAGGTCTTGGCTAGTACAGTTGGCCACGTGACCAATTAAGATAACCTAAAAACAGACTTCCCAATCGTAAAAATTCATTCATTATTCACTGTGGTGTGTGTTTCGTAGAATATAAATTTAGCTGTTAACCAGTGTTGGTTCTATTATTGACTGTTGGATCCAAAAGCAAGTAAATTTCTTATTCTATTATGAAAGTAACTACATATTCTTACCTTAAACAGCAGATCTAAGATTCAATGATTTTCTTAAAACATTAGATTATTACCATTAAGTGCCTTTTCCCTTAGTAATAAATAAACTCCATATAAGTCTTCAAATGATCCTGTTATAACACCAGAAATTTTGCACCTCAAAAATCAAATGCTGTGAAGAAATGATCAAAGTTCTAATTAATAATTTGGAAAGTGCAGCTCCTCAAACTGTTCTCCTAGGCGATGAGGAGCTCACATCTTGCATCCAACCCTATAAACACAAGACAAGCTTCTTTGAAAGACAGTTAGGGTACAAGGGAGTCCCTACAATGTGCTCCTTGAACTTAACAGATTGACCAAGATACTGTGCGATTTGGGAGAGCAGTAAAATTTAAAAGGGTTTCAACAAAAAAAGTCTATTACGGCGCCTGGTATTTTTTTACAAAAGTTAAATAAAAAACATAAATAATGAAAGTTAAATAAGGATTGTGGATTATTGTACTATTTCAAGATTTTGGTACTAGAATATTTTTAACAAGTTTTCTCTTAATGTTCACCGTGTTAATGTAGATGTATTTTAAGACAAAGACATCATTCAAAAGTTATATAGCTTACATTTGATTTTGGGTTCGATTATGGGTCATACGATTCAAAACTAGTAATCCTTGACAACTTTCCAAGGACTAAGGAAAGTTAAAAATGATAAGGGACGTTAACCTTGATATGTTATAAGATATTTAAATATGTACATGATTTGCTAATTTATAGAGTTTATGTTTTGATTTACAGATCGCCCTACATCACCCAAGAGGTGACGGTCCAAGTTCCGTCAGTCCCTGTGGTTATCCCGAGTGATCAGCTGTCACCCACCAGCGTTCTCTCTGAAGGCAACGAGTCATTCGTCGACTGCGACAGCAAACGAACCGACAGTCTCTCAGACGACCGGGAGCCGTTTAGAGAGCCTGAAAGTGACATTAAACTTATTGAGGAACCTGCCGAGGCGAAAGTCGGCGAATCCGAAGTTGAATCGGAAGTGATAGAGAGGACAGAAACCGTTATAGTTTTGGAGTCACCTCTTGAGAAACTCTCACGAGAATCGGTAGAAAGTGTTGAAAGTGTTGTGTCAGACAGATCGTTGTCGGTGGTGAGTGGAGAAATAAGAAGGACTTCTGTGATAGACCCTCCCTCGGGGTTTCAGACTAGCTCGCCTTCCTCTAGGGAAGACCTTCGCGAGGAACTCGAACCTGAAACTTGTGAAACTGAACCTGAAGTTTGTGAGGAAACTTGTGTGGAAGTTGAAACTTGCGAATCTGAAGTTGTTCATCCACCCATTGTTGAAGTCCCGCCGTGGACTCGAAGTGACCTTCGCACTTCGTCCAAGCTCTTCCGAGGACAAAGTGTAGATGTGAGTATTGAGTATTGTTTTGTTTATATTCAGTAATATAAATATTTCATTAGGGTGATCTTTTTCGTGAAAATCCAATTGCTCAACGATCTTTAGAAGAAGTTAAGATAAAGAGATAGTTCTTAAATCATTGCTTCATATTGCTTTAATAATCCTAAAATCTCAATTTTGTATATTTTACATAATTAATTAGATTCAATTTGCCTACATTGTAATAAACAAATAAACTGTAAAAATTGTTACCGGTTGTCCCATTATACTCTCCCTCTGGGGAGACTTGGGACACTCTGTATGTGCTACAAGGTTTGTTATGGAACAACAAGCTGACAGCTTGAATTAATTTGTTTGGTTTAAAATTAAAATTAATTAACTATCTTGATATAGTGACTATCTTGATGAAATTCCTAGTATTATCTGTTACCTATAGTGAACCATTTCATAAAATGTAGTATATTTTCAAACACAGTTAAACATTTAATTTGAACTGAAAGTAAATACATAGTGAAGCAGTAAACTGAATTGTTGTTTCACATGTAGAATCGTCAGAGGTGTTCTTCATTGACGATATCACGGTTAATCGCACCTTTAATCATTCCTGTGATATCAGTACCTGTTATACGATTACCTGAAGAAGATGAGGTATGAAATACAACCGAGGTAGAACCTCTTTAATCCATTTGTAAAAGTAACACATTCATAAAAGGAGAGGAAACATTATAATAAAAGGCACAATTTAATGACACTGACAAAGCTATGGTTAGTTCAACCAGTAAATAGCTCATTAACTCATTTTTCGGACTCTTATTATTTATTTTTCTATGCGGTTGCACCGAGGAAAAGTTCCACTGTACTGTTGTCAGTACAAAGGAAAAGCAGTTTTCTACCGACTTTTGGTGTCCCCCTTTCTTTGTAATTACATTTTAATGACTATGTTTACAGTCAATGGTTGTAGCATAGCTGTGCCATTGCTTTCACAAATCAATCCTTAAAATAATCCTAATATTAATATTTCATCCCCAACCAAAGAGTGGACGGTTGATCATCCAATGTTATTTAACTGGTTATTTATTGTTTTCACAACGGATTATAGAGGTTTTACTGTAGTGTAATGTCGCAGCACAATCACCTTTATTTTGTACAGTTTTTGAGGCACGCGAGTGACACATTTTGACACACACGGTGACACGTTTTGACACTCACGCAGATGTTTTCTCAGCACAATTTGAGCCAAGTCTAATGACTGAGTCTAAGAGACAAAAAAGGCTAAATCCATACAAATCTTCGTCATCATATTATGACCAGATCGTACAATTATTTGTACGAAATACTTATATGTTGAACATAGTAACATGAGTTGTTTTGTAATCCCAATAGCTATGTCCACCCTTGGGCTTTTTTGTGTGCGCCTTGCGCATGCTACTTACTTAGGGCATGCTTTGATGCAAATGGACGCAAGTAACGCATGTGTCAAGGCATGCCCGAAATGAGTCCGAAGGAGCTCCAATCTACAGCGCACAGGGTAGCGCAAGACAATCCACCAACCTTGGATTTCTGTTTGTTTCAACTTCTAACTGTTTATATTTGTTACAAGTCGTCCGTGTTGCAGTTGTTTGAATAACTAAGAAACCTCAGAATTCATAGAAGTTTGTGGGACATAAGGGGTGATAAACAAAAAAATGTATTTTAATGAACTAAACTAATCAAATGAAGTTTAATTAATAAATCAATAAAATTAGATAAGAAAATTACGAGTTCTACAGTACTTCTTCTTCCACATTGTATGCCTTAATTACTTAAGTTTTTTAAATGTTCTTAACACTAAATATACCGATTCCTCCTATCAGAATAGTGTCGTCTTCATCCAACTAGGAAAAGGTATCTAAAATTTGAGGAAAGTGAGGCATGAGTGTGGCCAGCTGAAAGGCATGCCTCAAAGAGATTGCAATAACATATATGTTGTGAATATTACATTGAATGTTGGAATTAAAAGTTGAAAGGTACGTTGAAATTGAAAGCGCACGATTGTGGACATAGCTAAAGATCATTAGAGTTTCTTTCCTAACAGTCATTACACCTGACTTATGTGTATTTTGCTATTGTGTGTGGGTTTCAGCACTGAATAAATCACTTAAATTTTAGAAATTATAAGTATGAGGTTAAGTTTATGTAGTAGGAGGTTCGTACTCCTAGGATAAGAGATTACACAAGAGGACTAGAGATAACCACAACACTTTACCTCGTTTAAATTACTAAAAAAGAATATTGTTGTCCTTATTAGTTATAATTTAGAAGTCCAATATGGCAAACCTGTATTATAATAGAGTTTGAATTGCTGCAATACTGATTAATCCAAAATAGGCTTATAACCCAAAGGCAATAGAAAAATGTATACTTAGACTAACACTTAGATTGAATAAAATTAGCTCAATGTTTTTATAGGTTTGTTATTGTTACTACTACAGCCAGGACCATATTTCTGTATAGGCAAACAAATTTAAATTTAGGCAAATTTTTTAGGGAGCAAGAAAATTTAAAGAGTTAGGTATCCAAAAATAGAGGTTTTAGTATTAAAAAATAAACGTTTAGTAAATAGTTCTGGGAACTGCAAACGGTTATTTCAAATACTTTGATCAAGAATAAAATTATTTCAGAACAGATTAAAATCAAAAGTCAATAATTTATTACACGCCTCTGTGGAGTTTTTCGGGCTGCACTATTAGTCTGGCGGACTCGTCAGTCGCCGCAGTTCGCAGGCCCAGTCAGCTGGCCACTGCGTAGTGACAATAAAAGTAAATACTCTTCCCTGCGGCAGTGCTAGCTGAATATTGAAGGAGATTTGCTTAACTCCCTGGACTTAAATTCAGTTATTGACTCATTATTTGGTTAAAATCAAGTAGGAAAGTGTGAACTAACTACTAACTTAACTCATGCAAAATTGTATGTTATTCTTTTAAGTAGGGATGGTCAAGTCTCGAAATTTCGGGAAATTTTCGGGAAATTTTCAATCTCGTTACACGAGACGAGATTACTTTTTGGCCGAGATTTTTATCGAGACGAGAATAAAAAAAAAAAAAAAAAATTAAAAACGCCTGCAGAAAGTTAATGCAATACCCGCAATACAGGAGCGTGTTGTAGTTGCGTTTCCTTTTCGAAGGCGTTCTTATTTAATTAATTCTTTTAATGTAAATATTACTTTAATTCTTTTAATGTAAATATTACTGTCATTATTTTAATAATATTACTATAATAACATTTGAGAAGTTTTGTTAAGTGTAAGCAGTGTGAGGAATGTTTTATTACTATAAAAAAAGTCAAAACAAGTAACTATTTTATAAAAATTAATATTGCTTTTATTTTATGATTTATTTTATTTTAGGATAAGTTGAACTCTATCCTAACTGATATCACCATGTTTCCTAATCGTAGGCATTTTTAATAAGTTAGGCGTGATTAATAAAAAAATGTTATGCTGATGTTATTTAATGAAAGATTGTAAATATTCTTGCCTATTATCATTATTTTAGTATTTAAACAGTCATCTAACAATGTTACAAAATCAGGTAAAAATTTCGAACGTGCATTTCCCGTTGTGTATGAGAAGAGAAATCTCGTCTCGAAATTTTATGAGAAATAAAAAATCTCGTCTCGTCTCGTCTCGAACTAAAAATCCAATCTCGTCCATCCCTACTTTTAAGTAAAAGTACTTACTTTTTTTGTCTGATTCATTTAAATTTTCGTGATTAAAACCGTTTTGTAAATAAAAATATTAGTTTTACTTCAAAGTCAACTTGGCGCAATCAAGTGGATCTGACCACAGAGAAGAAAGAATAGAGGTTGAAAACTGATGGGTTAACCGTGCTCATATAAGCTCTGGTATGTTGGGGTGGAAATGTATTAGTATAGAGCAAGAAAGAGCCTGAACGGTGATGGCCACTTAGCATATTTGCACAGCAGTTGTAGTGCACAGGATCTTCCTACCACTTGAGTGCTGTAGTATGTGATGGCGAGGGGGTAAATGAGAGAGGAAGGATGCAACAAATAGAATTTGCTCTAGACACCAGAGACTGGTGCTAGACACCACTTAAGTGTACCATTGAATGTATCTTCTGTTTCTTACCTCTCTGTGGTCTAACTAAAAGTGTTCGATGAAAAGCGTTATGAGAGCCCTTGCAGCAAAATGCAATTATGACATCTAGTTAAGAACCATTTTCATAAACAGTTTTTTTTGCATGTGCCCCATTACCATTTTTATAATTAATTTAAATTCAAATACTTTTGGGTGAAAGCGGTCCAAAACCATTAAAGTTTTGTGGATGTTCCGGGAATTGAACCTGTCCCTCCAGCACCGAAATCTGTGACGCTAACCACTTGACTAGCAACACACCCAATATTCTAATAACTTAGGTCTAGCTTAATCCAATAGATAAAGGATAGTAAAGACACTTGCACACCTGAATAGAGAACCCTTATATTTTATTAGTCCAAATTCTAAAGGCAATACCATTAACAATTCTGTATAACACTTAAGTGCAGTTGACCAATTGGGTAGTGACAGATATATAATTTTAAAAACATCTAGGCTAAATTAGGCTATTATAACAAATACGCATTGTTTTCTTTAATTTTGTCAGTGATGTAATTGTGATGTGATGTGTAGGTTGACAGCTCAGTCAGTGTAATACGTCGTGGTCAGCTGCTGAGGTCAGCCAGCACAGGTCAAGAGGTCGATGCTGTAGGTCTAGACAACATGACAGTGACCAACACATCACAGTCCCAATCCTCAGTGTTGTTGGCCAAACATTGGGGACCGGAACGCAACGTCCATGTGCTGAGAGAACCAAACTGCAGTCTGGGCATCAGCATAGTAGGTGGCAAGGTGAGCAACATTCAAACCTTCTGTAAACACTGTCGGTTAATTAAGGTCTCCATCGAGCTCCCAAGAGGGCCAAGCAAGCAGCTCATGTCTGAAACCAGCACTGTTCTCTTCAAGTCATCCACAACTCACACCTTTTCCACCTGCTATTTGATAATTGATCTTGTCATAGTAGCAAAAAACAATGAACAGGCAAATATGCACTCCTGATTTCTAGATTACGTCTCTAGCATCAACGACTCTTTACGTCCATCACCAGTTAGAGGACAGTGAATGACAATGAAGTAAAGTGTTTGGAAATATAAAATGTGCGTACGTGGTGGAGGGAGTTTAGAGGTGGTCGTTTTGCACCATGCTTTGCACAGTGTACTGTAGGCCGACCTTGGTCGTTCATATTTAAAGAAGTGTTTAAAGTAAAGAGAATTATGCATGCAGGTCGTTTTGTGACTGGAAAAAAAAGATTGCTGGACTTAAGGCATGTGTTTATAAAACTGTAAAAAAAAACGATAAACTCTTGATACCGTAGTCATAAACACCCTGATCAGGAAGCAAAGTTTCCTCAACTTCATCCATCCACTGTCTGATGGAAACTAATAAACGCTGCCAACCCCTTTGTGTAGATGTGTACGGTCTTCCTTTAGCAACTTTTACATTTTAAACGTCTAAGGGCTTTTCCACATACACTACACACCTGACAACTTGCAGCGGATTTCAATTGTCAGCACTCAATTCCCAACCTTCAGAAACCTAATTACGAAGGGTAATTGATACTTGGTTGGATTCTAGATATTTTACTGCTACTATTATGTAGTATTTTATCGCTACTACTTGATGGGAAATTGCTCAAATTATTCTGGTTGAATTTACATTGGTGTAATTTAAAATGGTGTTCCCTGATGATTTGGTATTATGCTGATGGTATGTTTTGCATGACCAGGTTGACTTGTACAATGCCGGAGGTGACAGTGGCTCAGCCATTTCTGGTATCTTCATCAAGAACGTCCTGCCCCAAAGTCCTGCAGGACGCACAAACGAACTCAAGGTACTTTGTTATTGTCATTGATAATTTTTGACCATCTAAAGCAATAATACAGACAGTTCAAATTTGGCATTGTAATCATCTCATAACAGTGAAACCTCACTAACTCGGCAATTTGTGGACCCAGAGGTGGAGTTTTAAGGTTATCGAGTTATCCAGAACATTAAAAAATTTTAATAGGGACAGTTACAAATGTATAGATGGACTAATTTTTACATGAAAAATTTATTCCTTACTGTATTTTTAAATGTTGATCCAAATCATGGTTAAAGTTTGTTGATTTTTTTCAATTCAAAGTTTCACTTAGCTTGAAATATCCGTATTAATTGAGATAACTAGATCAATAGACACATGCTTACAGCTCTTATTAGGAAAAACATGGAAAGTGTTACAGAGCCTGGGTGTCCAGCCTATCTGGGCAACAAGAATTGTACTTGAATTTCTTGGTGTGGATGGATCAAGGACTCCAATGATCCACCAATACCCATTAAGTCTCAATCCATTGACGGTGTTCCATTGGTTCTCTTTTAACATCATAAGTTAATCACAACACGATCACTGGAGATCATCACAGAAATTTTACTAATACCGCAAGAGATGTTCACAGTGCAGTTGCGATCGTGGTAGACGATCACGGTATCACCCAGGCTGCAAAATATGCTCGCGAGTGTAGCCACAATTGTAAATGACAAGCTCTTTATTACCGAGACAACGACATTTACTTACGGGTGTTGCCACGACCATGAGTGACGACCATGGAATCGCCAAGTTGCCACGATCATGAATGAAGATATTTACTTACGGGTGTTGTGTTGCAGCAATTTTGATGATCATTGATTTATATCAATTATATAAAAATAATTATTTCCCAGTAGGCCTTCACGAGCCGGATAAAATCTGTTTACGGGCCAGACGTAGCCATAGGCCATAGGTGGCCATAGGACGGGCCATAGGTTGGAGACCCCTGACATAGACTGTTGAGTTACAGGGTGTCAAGTTATTGACCTTTTATTGTATAAGTTAACACTAATAAAAACAATAGAAGTTTTCATTGACAATCTGTGTTTCATCTTTTTTTTGTACTTTTGAGAGTTAAAATAAATACACCAGTGGAAGAAGAAATCAATCGAGGCGAAATCGTGAGATTACTTGTGGTTTTGTTAGGGAGGATGTTATGAAGTGGTTTTTATGTTATGGTTTGTTAATTACATTACATCAAGAGTTAAAGAGCCATTTATCGAACTGGCTTGTGTTATTTGAGGGATAATTGCAGACATTTTCCATCACAATTAATAATAAACAAACATTTTAAAATCTGGAATCTGATTTCATCCTTAGGTGAGAAAGTACCTAAAATATTAGGGGATTAATACACAAGCCCAGCCTAAGCTGGAAAATCACAAAAACAACACTTAGTGATCTTTACAAGATGGTAGTTCAAACTAGACAGTCTCTTGTGCATTGTGTTTGCAAACTCTATATGGACCAGCTGTATAGCCTTTTTAGTATACCATATTTTTTGTATACACCATAAAATAAGTTTAAAAGAGTGTGCTACAGTGTAAAATTATATTTCCGTACTTGGTTTCAGTTACTGAAATAGTTGATGTGACATAAAAAACACTAAAGCCAAAGTCATTTCTTAAAAAAACATAGACTTACCGTTACTAAAAGGCGAAAATGAGTTACAAAATGGGGATGATTTTTTGACATCACTAAGTTAGAAATTCTAACATATAAGCTGTTTGTTGACAGACGGGTGACCGTATCTTGGAGGTAGATGGTATTGACCTCCGCACGGCCAGTCATGAGAGAGCTGTGGAAGTGATCAGGGCCGCTGGCAACCCCGTCAGGTTCTTGGTGCAGTCTCTAGTACAGTGGGTGAGTCACTCACGTTGATGTGTCTTATATGCAAATTGTTTTTATAACTCCAAACTCTTATAATTCCAAGCTATCAGAAAACGAAGAAACAGCACAACTCCAAGTTCTAATTACCATACCTTTCTAACCCATCATATGAGAAAAAATATGAAGAAATATGAGAAAAATCTGGCAAAATAAACATTTTTTTAAACTTGGTCAAAATTTTTTTTATGCTTCTTCTTTTATTGGTTTTTCTCCCAAATTCACCTTGGTGTGTACTCTAAAGCCTATATCTAATATCTACCAAAATAGCTGGAAACATCCAATAAAATTGTTAATCTACAAACCTAGGCGTCTTCACAATGTTTACCATACATATTTATATTTGTACTCTTCATATTTCCATCACTGAAGGAATTGATTAAAAAACCTATTCTCTCTCTTACTTTTCCAGAGTGTTGACAGTGAGAATGAAGGAGCCTCAGGCTACAATTACAGCCGAGGGATGTCTGTGAAGAAGAAGGCTCCTGCTCCACCTTCACCTACAGATCTACTCAAGGCCACCCCCTACCCCATCCCTCAGGCTCGTACACCTACCCCTGAACTGATACAGGTACTTACATAGATATCTGTAGACGGATAATGTATGAGTAGAAGTGGAAGTGTGTCTGTTGAGCCCACAGGTACAGCAGTGATGTGTAGAGTCAAGTATTTATTATAAAGAAGTATTTGATACTTTTTCAACCAACTCGGTACACTTAAGATGATATCAACATCAGTGATGATGACTCGTAGTAGTCAAGATGGAGAACTATTCTGACTAGAGTTCTTACACTCTGTATTCAGTGCGGTTGATTATTAGTAGTAACTGGAGAACGATTGCCTCGAATCCAGAGCACTTGGAATTGAGCAGTGTTGACTCGAAAGTGATTATAAAAATGTTAACAGGCTGACATTTTATCAGTATATTTTTCAAACCTACTTTGGAAATTGTATATAGTTTTTTAATGTTCAGTGCATAAATGGCGAAGTAACGTGAAATCAAAGTTTAAACCTTATGGAAGGGAACGCAGCATGCTATGTTACTATGATCAATCAATCATTGTATGCCAAAATGCAAGACTGCAGTTGGTCGGATGGGAGGAGGCAGAGGCAGCAAGGTGGTCGTAGCTCTACCAAGGCCCTGGCCCCTCCCCATGCCTCTGTCAAGAAGTACTCATCATCAGAGGAGAGCTATTACAAGGACACTGTATATTATGTTACATTAACCATTGCCTGCAAGATGGCTGGTCAGTTGGAAAGAGGCAGAGTCAGCAGGGTGGTCGTAGAGCCTCTACCAAGGCTCCGGCCCCCCGCCAGGCCTCTATCGAGAAGTACTCATCATGAGAGGAGTCATTACAAGTACACTGTATATTCTGTTCAGTTAATCATTGTCTGCAGAATTGCTGGTCAGATGGAAAGAGTCAGAGTCATCAGTGTGGTCGTAGAGCCTCTACCAAGGCCCCGGCCCCCCGCCAGGACTCTGTCAAGAAGTACTCATCATCAGAGGAGAGGCATTACAAGTACACTGTATATTCTGTTACATTAATCATTGTCTGCAGAATTGCTGGTCAGATGGGAAGAGTCAGAGTCATCAGTGTGGTCGTAGAGCCTCTACCAAGGCCCCGGCCCCCCGCTAGGCCTCTGTCAAGAAGTACTCATCATCAGAAGAGAGTCATTACAAGTACGCTGTATATTCTGTTACATTAATCATTGTCTGCAGAATTGCTGGTCAGATGGGAAGAGTCAGAGTCATCAGTGTGGTCGTAGAGCCTCTACCAAGGCCCCGGCCCCCTGCCAGGCCTCTGTCAAGAAGTACTCATCATCAGAGGAGAGTCATTACAAATACACTGTATATTCTGTTACATTAACCATTGTCTGCAGGATGGCTGGTCAGATGGGAGGAGGCAGAGTCAGCAGGGTGGTCGTAGAGCCTCTACCAAGGCCCCAGCCCCCCGTCAGGCCTCTGTCAAGAAGTACTCATCATCCGAGGAGAGTGATGACGAGGAGGACACTCGAGACATGGAGGGCCGCATATACACCAAGAAGGGAGTAGAGGTAAAAGAAACACAGTCCAGTCATGTTGTAGTTCAGTTCTATGATTACAAATTTAGGGATGGTCAAGTCTCGAAATTTCGGGAAATTTTACATCTCGTTACACGAGACGAGATTTCTTTTTGGCCGAGATTTTTATTGAGACGAGAATAAAAAATAAAAAAATTTAAAACGCCTGCAGAAATTCAATGCAATACCCGCAATACAGGAGCGTGTTGTAGTTGCGTTTCCTTTGCGAAGGCGTTCTTATTTAATTAAATCTTTAAATGTAAATATTACTTTAATTATTTTAATAATATTACTTTAATAACATTTGAGAAGTTTTGTTAAGTGTAAGCAGTGTGAGGAATGTTTTATTACTATAACAAGTCAAAACAAGTAACTATTTTATAAAAATTAATTTTGCTTTTATTTTATGATTTATTTTATTTTAGGATAAGTTGAACTCTATCCAAACTGATATCACCATGTTTCCTAATCGTAGGTATTTTTAATAAGTTAGGCATGATTAATAAAAAAATGTTATGCTGATGTTTTTTAATAAAAGATTGTAAATATTTTTGCCTATCATTATTTTTGTATTTAAACAGTCATCTAACAATGTTACAAAATCAGGTAAAAATTTTGAACGTGCATTTCCCGTTGTGTATGAGAAGGGAAATCCTGTCTCGATCTCGTCTCGAAATTTTATGAGAAATAAAAAATCTCGTCTCATCTAGTCTCGAACTAAAAATCCAATCTCGTCCATCCCTAAAATTTATATTTTGATTCGTGTTGAAGGATGGTCTGTTAATCAATGAACTTAATGTTGTTCACTCTCTATGATTTTCCCTTATTATATATATCCTAACATTTAATTGCATACATTATTTCCAATTGATACTTTTTGGAGGTTTTTTTTATACATAAAATTATAAAAACGTCATAGTCACTTATCAAGTATTTGCAGTTTTTGCAATCCATTTACTATTTTACACTTACTTTTTTTTCATTTCCATTTAGATAATTAATAGACCAGGTCAATAAATAAAAGGGTTATCTAAAAATTAAGGTCTCCAACGGGCTTTCATCACTGCCAATCATTGTACTGTAGTTGGAATCTGACCAACACCGTGTTCTTTACTATTCTAACTTGTATTCTAGCTAGTATCCACAGTTAAGTAGGTAACAATTTGCTTTTTGTAGTAGCTTATAACAATGGGAGGGAAAATCAACAATACCACAAATCATCTATCACAAGTTGTGGTTTCATTTTTATCCAATGTTTTTTCTAATGGTTCAATCCATGTACCATCACAAGTTCACGGATGTGAAATGAGTTGTGGACGCAGAATACGTTTGTAACGTTTAGACATAGTTTGAAGATACCCGTAATCATTTGAACTGTCTTAGCTGGCTGTGGTCGTTTGTCAGGTTTTAACCCTTTCAGTGCTATGAAACGATATATCGTTGTTTTAAAAAATCTCTAAGGGATATAGAGAGGAAGGTTAATTTAACGAAAAATAGCAAAACGGCCATTGGTGACCTGCATGTTCATAGGATACACTATCAACCACTTAGCTAAAAGATTCGCCCAATCCGATGATTTCGAGGTGTATGTCTAAACCAAGGATTATGAACACCTCACTATGCCCCAGTGGTTGTAGTATATCGCTACAAACACACAGGTCACCAATTATTTGCCACACAGGACGGGATTCGAACCCGAGCAGACGAATGCCACTGGCCAAGTGACACACGCCCTAGCCTTCTCGGCTATCTGTGCTTGAAGACTGGGGAGTAAAACCCCGGTATTTAAGCTGTCGCCACCGATTGCGAACAGATGGCGCTGGAGATGGTTGTTCAATGCGTTACTAGGTAGCAGCACCAGTTAGTCACGGACTATTTAGATGCAATCTTTTAGTTTAAACACAACAGTGATCATAAATGTGTTCCTGAGACTTTGCTGCAAAACATTAGTTTCCCTAAAATGGCTATATTACGATAACCTCGTCCAACTAAATCAAGGTTAAATTCAATATTACATTGTAAACTATATGTCTTTTGATTTTATGAGATTTTGGTTTCAAAACAACATAAAAATTTATAGGAAAACCAGGAAAATTACAACAAAAACTAAGTTTTATTTAATGTTTACTACAAATAGTGGGATTTATCTTTCTTATATATTTTCTTATTGTGTTATTATTCAAAATTAGACTAATTAATAAAATAGTGACAACATGACAATTAAAATTCAACAACAGGTAATGAAATTAAAAGGCAAACAAAAAAGTCTTACAAAATATGAATTATTGGCCTAGCACTGAAAGGGTTAAGTAGGTGATTAGATTAGGGAACTTTACATGTTGTGGTGTGACTGGACAGAAGGTTTCCGAGCTGCTTAAGCCATAGTCTAGAACCCTGGTAGTCCTAAATTGATCAATATATACAAGTTTAACTCATTGTATACAGTCTTTTTCAAACTCTTTAAGCCACTTTGCAAATTTGTTGCATCTATGAACGTTTCTTTATACACATTTCAATAGGGGATGATACCTTTCCCACGGATACCTATATTCACAGAACACAATTTAAACTCTTGTTATGTCAATATTTCTTCACATCATTATCAGCTATGTTGTAAAAGTAAACAAGACTAATGGTAGTATAGTGGTCAAAACCAGATGGAATTATTGTCAGGAAAATAAAAAAATCACAAATCAGATTTAAGAAATGAAATAGCTTGCTTGGCTGCAACTCATCAGGCTGTTTGGAGTTCTTAATTTAGTGAAAGCCATCATAGCTGACATGATTAATTTTGGTTTATAAAATTTACAACTCCTTTGAACATTACTATAATTAGGATAAAAACACAGACACAAGCATGATGTATGTTAAAAATGTCCTTCATTCAAATATTATTTTGATGTTTTTTTTTTATTTTATGTAAAACTTCCACTGTTCATAATCTTGGACCTATTGTACTTGTCTGCCCAATACCAGTGATCTAGACAGTAAAGTTCACTTATAGTAGGCCTACGTCATAAGGCAAGCCAGGGATAACGGTATTGTCATTCTTCTATACCAGACTCAGAGAAACATGTATACCATTTGAAATTTATATTCCTACAAAAAATAAAACATAATTTCTTTCTTTCAGATATCTCGTGCGAGTGCAGGCAACGTAAAGCGAACGAAAGAAGAAATAGATGCTGACCCAGAAGAGGAGGATGACTTCGGCTACACGCAAAGTAAGTGATTCATTTTTTTCAGTGTATTGGGGTTAAGTTTTTATCAATGCGGAAGATAACCCTCATCGATCGCGTCGATTTTTCAACGCGCGAACATCGTTTACGGCGAAGGCTCTATGACTGACTGAATCGGATTGAACTGGATCGAGTTAGGTATCGTTCTTCTCGTTATATTCTAAGCTTTCTCCAGAGGTCTGTCTCAGCGCTGTATGTTCTCCGAGCCGATCGTAATTGTAGCAGACAGCTGACGTGTGTATTTGTAAATAGCTAGGTTACCCTCGGACCGATGACTGATGTGTTTTATTACGTTTATCATTGTTTTAGTGTTAAAAATCAAAAGTAGTGATATACATGGTGCATTATAAGAAGATTTAAGTGATTTTGAAGGGCTGGTTGATGATCCTGAAGAAGTAGGTAGTGATATTGAAGTAAATTATCAGCCAGATTCCTAGCTATGGTTAGGCTATGCATTCTTAGCTAAACGCTATGTACTGAAATCTGTTTTTTGCCCATAACTTATTTATTTGCAAATCTACTTCCTTATATTATTATATATTTGTAATCCTCATAAAATTTAGAACAAAGTGGCTATTTTCAAATATTTATAGGCCTATAATTTATCCAATTTCATTGAGCGCGAACTTGTTTTTTTTTTTTTTTTTTCCAAAATATTTTTTTTTTTACCTAAAAGGTTTTTTTTAAACAAATGTTCCTTATGTTTTATGTATAATATTGAAGCCCATGATTTTCCAAACAAAATGGTATATAGAACAGTAGAATTAACATTGTTTTAAGCTTCTCAGATCGGTTTTAATAAAACCTTGCAAATGCGCCAAAAATAGGCGGACATTAAGGCCTAAACTATGGACACTCGGAGGGTTAAGAAATAAAGACTTAACATGAAAATTTAACGTGACAGTAATACTATTGCATTTGCCTGTGAACACGGTAAGAAAGTTATTCAAGTAGCGAGGGACGAGTACTAAAAAAATCCAGCTGGTTTTATTCCTTGCATCCGTAGAAGAAACAATATTTTGGGCACTTCATATATGTTTTGAATTTCAAACCTCTTTGCCCTGAAGAGTGTAAGTTGCCCTCAAAGCTTTGACTCTTGGGTATAGTACTGCATTCTAGTCTTATAAAAGGTGGTAACTCAGTTGCCTTCATTGCGACGATGTTACATGGCTTAGTTTATGTGTTGTCTTCCATAGTTGGCCAACCCTCCAAAAATTATTAAAAATTGTAAATTCTTAGAACTTACGTAAATTGTATGTTCTTGGATAAAAAAAAAAAACATGTGTTATGTTTATACTCCAAATACTGAGATGAAAAAAGGAACCGAAATATAATTCAGAGTTAAAACCATTCTACCTAACTGCTATTCTACTTTAGCAAATATTTTTTTTTACCTTTTCGAGCAAAGATAAACGGAAATGTTAAACTAATTTTGTGTGGATAGTTATAGGAATAACCCAACTATAATTTCTGAAACATTTTCCAACACTAACCAAACCTAATTACTTAGTGGATGGAAATAAAATTGTTTTATAAACTTGCATATACTCTTTTATAAAATGTTGCACTGCCTACGTTTGACCTATAACTCCAATCAAGATCATTAACAGCTTGCTCTGGGTGGGGAAGGGGAGGCCTGTTGGTGATTGGATTCTACTGTACCTGGGTAATTGGCAAAATTTCCATAAATTGTTCACTATGGGATCCGCAACAATGTTATATTTAATAGGATTTTGAGTCGTGTTTTGATCACCTTTATATGGTTTATTTTAAAATTACTTGTTAATATGTAATGACAAATACATCCATGGACCGAACATTTTAGTTTGTTTCAACTAACCTAAGACAATAGGATTTTTGTTTACTTTTTCTATTGTTATTTCACATATTTTACAACTACTTTAACAATATAAAACAATCTAATTATGAACGATAGCTCGTCCTCTAGTCTAGTTGTATAAACAAATAGTAAAGCACAAAATTGTAAAATTAGAAAAATATATTTTGTGGGGCAGTCGACTCCAACATGCAACGTCGAACATAGAAATAGACTTCTGATTTTATCATAGGACGAGATGTATACTTGTACTTTTTAAACCCTACACTTATATTAGTCTCATCAAGTATTCATTATTGTATGTAGATGGTAATATACTTGAAAATCTACAAAAAAGTATATTTTTTTAGGAGGTGGTGTGGGCACCCTTTATGTTTTAAAAAGAGTAAATTATTTTATATCAGCTTTTAATCCAGCCAAAAGTGTTTCTATAGGGGGGGGGGGAGTGTTTCATACCAAAAACCAGAATTTTACACCATTCGTTGTATTTAAACGGGATCGGAGATGAAACAATATTTTAGGCTCTGATGCCTGATTTTTGTTTTGTTACTAATTTCAGATAAACTATTGCCCAAAGTAATTTCATTATTGAAAACATAGTATGATAGCAAGGTTTAAAGAGCTTTTTAATCATGATAGGGTAACAAGATCATTTTATATGGAGCAGGATTTTTTACAACATTTACACAGGATAAAGCGGCATTTCTTTGACTCTTTAAGCGGTATTATTGTTTTGATTATATAGGAACACTGCCAACCCAGTTTATATTCGATTAGAGTCTTAACTCTCCAATACAGTTAAAGTGCAGAAAGTTATGGTGTCAAGTTGATTCCTTTGTCAATAGTTTTACCCTCCTCTAAAAGATAAGATGTTCACACAAACATGTAGTACTACCCAATTCAAATATTTGGCGAGCGGTACTACTGGTAGGTGGTAGGGCACGAGACGTCAGTCCTTAAGGTCCTAAGTTTATAACCCACCAATTACCAACGGATATTTTACCAATGATAATTCCACAACCCTCTAAGCCTTGTTTGAAGTAATGTGTAAAGAGTTCAAACATTTAATCATAGATAGTGAGAGTGTAAGGTGTAAGGAGAGGGGTCAATTTGTATTCAGATCACAAATGAAGAATATTGGCCATTGTTTGGCAGCACTTCCTGCCTTCAAGGCCTCTTGATGCCTTGGCTTACTTTTCTGCTAGTGAATTTTTAAGTTTAATTGCACAATCAAAATAGCTTTATAATCCTAGTTATTTTAAAATACACCTTCTTGTTTTAAAACTATGATTATTATACATCTGTTTCTTCCAATCTACATTGTTATTATACCAAGCAAACTGCCTAAAACAATTTGGTAATTAGTAATTCTTTAAAAATTCTTCATAGTTTCCTTTGAAAAAGTATATTTTCATCAATCCAATGTTTTATATTCTAGCAGAGCATATTATTTTTATTGCACACTGAAACTCTTGCTGTATTTATTTAGTAGTTATATCACTGTTGTTTTAAAATACTCAACAGTATAATCGCTTAAATACACCCCTGCTATAATGTAATAAAACCAGAAATTATTAAATATTGTACACTTATTGTATAGAGTGTTTTTCCCCAGACTTAATCTTGACTCAAATTCTTTTTTGTGATTGGTTAAGGTCCAATTTATATGTGGCGACTGATACGACTGTTAGACAGAGAAAATTACAAACAAACAGTAAATTTTGTAATTTGTTTCATACTAAGCTAAAAAAGCTATTAACATTTCACTTAAAAGATAGAGTCTTTGTTAGGTTTTCTGTTGCAGCAAACTTAACTATTCATTAATCCTAAAGTTATTTTATATGGGGAATAAGTTTGATATTTTTATGGTAAAAGTTTAATGAATATTGAATCAGGCTAATGAAAGTTTGCTTAGTATGCAGATTTGCTGTGGCAAGGGTATTTTATAAGGTTTGCTTATTATTTGATAAAATTTAATAGAATATTTTTGTTACTATATTTCATTTTTAACTGTATTTTGCCGTTGTCCAGGATATTTATCTTTGTGATAGTTGAAAGAATCATTATTGTTAATGCTATCAAGCTGCATAAACAGTACAGTAAACTGAGTTTTTACATGTGACATATGCACTGCAGTGTTGCCAGCTAGTGCAACCACAATCTGAACTCAGGTTCAGCAAATGTCAATCTTTGTGTGATTGCGGTTTCATTATTATCAATGCAGCATTGAAACTGACTTTATTTTCAATGAGTTTAAGTATTTCTCATAACACTGCACTTGAACATTTGTAAGTGTGGGTGTGTTAGGCTATAGTTTTATTGGGTTGGGTCGGTTCATCGATAGTATATTAAATTTGAACGATAGTATATTAATTTGAACAATAGTGTATATTAATTTGAACGTTTGCTGTTTGTAAAACCTAGGTACTTATGTATTTCTAACTTTGTGGTAAAATATAATTATTTTAAATTCTAATTTTTAGTTTGTTGGTGAGTTAAATAAAATGACTTTTTCTAAAGTATCGTGGTGGAACTATGCCTGATTATGTATTCAGAATTATTATTATTTATACTTCTAACTTTTTCTAGGTAGTTTTTATTGAAAGATGTACAGAGTGTGCATAGGCTTTAGTTTAGGGACTAGTTTCAATTGGCATTTTCAAATGTTTGTACCATTTTCGTTAATTATTTGATCTTTAAAACCCACCAACTCAAAATAACTAATGAAATGTTGGGTAGCTGAGTGGTTATTTATAATGCTCGCCTACTAATCAAATGTTCACCGGTTCGATCCTGAGAAAAGTCAGTAGCTTTTTGATGGTTCGAAACTGGACCCAGCTGTTCCTGATCATTGGGCTTTAAATAAATGATCCTGGCTAATGAAACAGCTGATCTTACTTAGTCAGTAACAAAGCTACACAGATCATCTCACCCATTCTATACGGTACTCATCCTTCACTCATATTTGGGTTAAAATAGCACCTAACTGGCGTCCCCATCTGAATGATTGATAATTGATAATTGTATTAATGACTATGTTTTTTATTATGTCTTCATCCCAAGGCAGAGCTAGTGTTTGCCACTAAAAATCTCAGCTTTGAATTTGAATTAATTGATTGTATTCTTAAAAGGAGAACAGTTTAATACA